TTTGATGATTTGGATCTCGAAGCCCAAAAGCTTCTGGAGAGATGTAAGCAGGAACAAACAGGAGAGCAGTCACAGCTGCAGCTGGCATTGATTCAACTTTCTCTGGAGTCATGCAGGACAAACATATCTCTGACCATGGGCAGCAGGGAAGGACAAGCTGAGCTCAACCATGAAACACTATCCCGTCTTCAGGTGGCGTACCAGCGTGTTACAACAACACTGAGAATGGGTCTTGCAACAGGTCTCCCTGAATGTGCCCTGAAACTCATTCAACTGTATTGTTCCACTCTGCTCAACAAGGATATGCCCAATGTACAGGTGGTGGAAGACCTTGCTGAGAGAGTGATCTCATCATTCTTCCTATCACCGGATGGTGCAGTCACGTCATGTGCTATAATGTACGGTTTTCCGCAGCAATGCATTGTTGTGATCCTGGGCAAGGTCATGTCAAGTTCCTGTAGCAGTGAGTGGATTATTTCACCATCATTGCTTACAACACTGGGTATACCACTGTGTGAATGGAAACATGTACCAACTGCTATCAGGCGCTCGGTCAATTCCAATAACGACTATACCACATGGGCAGCTTTACGGTTACAACTGTACCTGCACTCCATGGATGATGACACCGTAACCACACTACTGGATATGTACGTGGGTGGTATGTACAACAACCTGTACATATCCTTCGTAGTTAATGGAAGGGCACACACAACTCCAAAGGGTCTCACTCTACCAGCACAGCATCCCTACAACATTGTGATGGACTATGTCAGGAGATGGTGTAATAACTCAAATCCTGCAGATCACACAGCAGCACTGATTAACAACTGTAGCCAGAACAAGATACCTGATGTGGAAGTGATGCAGTCTTGTATTCTGACGGCTAGAGTACTGCAGACGTTTGAGGTAAGCTGGTAGTGCAGCGTTATCCTTACCCTAGTTTCATGCACACCCCACACTCCATTCTGAAAGAACCCAGTGTACTGCAACCCAGTGTACTCAGTAATGATCTACGGTATAGTGTCTGTCTCACTGAACCTCATTACTTGGTGGACACACAGGAGAATGTGAAAACTTCTAAAACATGGTAACCATGGAAATGGAACGCGTTGCATTTGGCTATATCAGCCTGGTTAGTAATTATTGTTCGATATGTTGTCTGTTTCGATTGTACGGGCTTCAGTCACGTTCTCTTTACACTGTTCTTTGTTGTGTGCTTTGCTGTAGAATACTTTCTTAGCACCTGTCGATAGTTCCAAACTCTTCCCAGCATTGAAGTCATTGGTTAATGATCTCAGTGCTTACCTGCCGAGCAATTGTGCAACTGGTCTCTCAGTGTCTGGAATTGTGTACTTACCACCACAAGCTGGGGACAAGCCTCTACTATACATCTCTCTCATTGCTGCCCTGCATCATCAATCCAAGAGAGGTCAAGTCAGCACTGATCACCACATTGCACTGCGAGAATGGTGTCCACGTGTAGCAGCATGTTTTGTCTGCTATGACCTGGAGAACATCACAGCATGTCCTCGTTGTGGCATGGCTTACCTGTGTGGCAAACATCGTCAAACTGATGAACACCTAAGTGAACACAACCAACACTGTGCTATGCTGGCAGCACTCAGACGTCGCAGACTGCAGTAAGTTAAGAGTGCTGTCTTCGGCTCACATGAGTGAGTGTTTACTGCGCGTGCTGTGTGCTGTGTACTGTGTACTGTGTACTGTGTACTGTGTACTGTGTACTGTGTACTGTGTGCTGTGTACTGTGTGCTGTGTACTGTGTGCTGTGTGCTGTGTACTGTGTACTGTGTACTGTGTACTGTGTACTGTGTACTGTGTACTGTGTACTGTGTACTGTGTGCTGTGTACTGTGTGCTGTGTGCTGTGTACTGTGTACTGTGTACTGTGTACTGTGTACTGTGTACTGTGTGCTGTGTACTGTGTGCTGTGTACTGTGTACTGTGTACTGTGTACTGTGTGCTATACTTACTTCATGTCAGTACATGTACTTTAAATGCTGTACAAGAGAACCACAGCTGTGTCTGTGGAAGGGGCAGGCTTACATGGTGGTACTTGCACCACATCTTCCGTTTTGGCTGCGTCACGACATGGTTTGTTCGAATCGTCTATGTCTGCATTGCCAATTATGGGACCATGGTTCCATGTGACCCTGTGGCAATGGCTCCATGGGACAGTTGCCTGTGTGCACATGTGTGTGTGTGTGTGTGTGTGTGCATGGTGTCTTTGTGGAAGTTTCTGTGTGCGTGCGTGCGTGCACGTGTGTGTGTGTGTGTGTGTGTGTGTGTGTGTGTGTGTGTGTGTGTGTGTGTGTGTGTGTGTGTGTGTGTGTGTGTGTGTGCGTGTACATATAATGTGCATATTCAAGAGTGGGTGATTGTGTGCTTGTACCATTGAGTTTGGTTGGTGGGTGCACTCACAGAAGAACGTTCCTGTTCCAGGACGACATACTCTCTATTATCTGAGTTTGCAAAGTGCAGCCCACACTAGTATCAAGCATTAATAATTAACTTCTCTTGGGCAGGGGTACATGCAAGTGGAACTCTGGACGCGGATCCCCTCATGCCAACCTCTTTCTTCAACTTGGTCTCACCGGCCCGCTTACTGTGGTGTTGTGAGTGAGATCATAACCAGTCCAGCCATAGTTTAGGGATTGCAAGGTGTGGTGGCTGTTGGGTGGGACAATAACCAATGGAGTCACTTTTGTAGGACTCCTTCCGCTGTGTGCGCATCTGCATGCATGCACGTGTGTTTGTATGTATGTGTGTCGACATGTACGTGTGTTCTGTGTATCTGTGCACATGCATGTGTGTGTGTGTGTGTGTGTGTGTGTTTGTGTGTGTATACGCGATTCCCCGTTGTACATTCTACAGGGCTAGGTGAGCTTCTGAAGATCTCTACTGGATAGTGTTTAGCAGTTCAGATTGGTGAAAGTGACCAGCACTGGACAAGTATCATTTCAAGAAGCTACTGCAGTAAGAGATACTCCAACAGCACACTACCTGTCATTGATCACAACACTGTGACATCACTTGTATAGACATGATGTATACAGATTGTCTATGACACACACAGTGTTGTGTTAGTATGTAGATATAATGATCAACTGAACTACATGTACTGTCTAGTCCAGTCTACTGTGGTATCAGTTTTACTGAATGTGTTCATGTCTACTCTCACCTACTGTTTTTACACTAGTCACTGTACAGAATAGTTACCGCTATGTCAGTTAAACCTGGAAAACTCTACTCTACAAATGTTTATACTGCAATGTATATTGCCATAGCAGTGTCAGCCATACCCTGTACATACAAGTTCATGCTCTGATTACCCTTGAATCACTCACACACGTTTTAAAGGTTTTGATCACAAGTCACAGCGGCACCGCTAGCATTCGTGTTGTTGTTGACTTTTACTTTACTTCACCAATAGCACAGGCATGATTGCCTTCTCACCGTCCCATAGGTCCGGTTCTCACAGAACGACGTGTGACAAGGTAGAATTGTTAGCTCATGACCAGTTGCCGCACGCCAAGTCAAAACCTATTGTTTATGACACATAACTCTGAATGGACTCAAGACACTTTCCTTCAGCAATCAGACTTGAATCTTGCAAATTGGTACACAGTAGACATAACTGCTTCACGGCCTACGGTTGCCATTAACAATGTGACCGCACAGTAGGGGTCATGTTTAATTTTTTGCCCAAATTTCACAGAAATCAAGATTTTAATTAATCTGTACTGCTGTTCTCAGGTTGCATTTTGATATCACATTGTAATTTGCAAATTGATAATTATGTGTCCGATAGTTGCAGAGGTAGATCTACTAGCCGCGAAAATGCTAAAGCAATGCGGACACCGAGCGTGGAGTTGTGTAAATAATTGACTCCCGCCTGGAATGCTCGATCCCAGCAGTGTTCTTCCGTACTGACTGGATCATCGAAATACAAACGGGTACCCTTATACTAACGGTACCTGAGATTAACGCGCGGGTACCCGGTGCACCCCTTTGACCCCTACCGCACAATCTAGTGTATCCCTTGCTAGCATGGCTTCATGATTTTTAGCACCAGCCACATCAACTGTTACAAGTACATTCCTAATCTCCTTCCCCAGCCGTAAGGCACATGTTTTGAATTGATTTGTGCCATCAGGTGGCAAGCACAATATGTCCGGTAGTGCAGGTCTGATATCAGTGATTGGCAATGTGATACACCACAGCAAAGGGGGAATGCGATGCACCACAGCACCATGGTACAGGTAGACTCCCTCTAATTCGAATACGGTATAATTCGAACATTCCGTGTAATTCGAACTTTTTCGTCGTACCGATCTTCTGCAAGTCACTTCAAGTCAAATTCGAATGCATAATTCGAAGAACGAAAAGTGCGCCGGTTGGATAATTCGAAGCCAGTCCTCGTACAGAACAGCTGTTTACAGTACATTGGCTATGTCCTTCGAACGCTTATTTCGAAGTGAGATTGAGTTCCTATCCTTGTAATTCGAAGTTCATTATTTTCTCCTTCGCTAGCCAAGAGTAGCTCAAAAATCTATCAATGATACTCACAGAACAACGGTATTGTGATATCCCACAGCACGATGGTATTGTGATATCCCACAGCACAACGGTATTGTGATATCCCACATCACAATGGTATTGTGATATCCCACAGCACGATGGTAATGCGACACTCGCCACCAACATAAGCACTGCATTGCATGAGTAGTGTCAAACTCGATCCAACACTTTGGCCGTTGCCTAGCAACACAATTTCTAGCTGATCTCGTAACGATGCATGTAGTACATAAGGAGGCCCGGTGTTTGACAGCACATTGTTTAAGTAACCTTGGAAACGTACATCATGCAGTTAAAAAGATGGTAGCTCCCACCTCAAGCCCTACATAACTGTCGGCCTAAGTTGCCTCCATGACTTCGGAAATATTCGCAACTTGTAAATGAGCAGAGGATATAGGAGGGGACCTTGAACAGATTAATGCCTCAGAAAAATGTGGGTAAAGCATGCAACTTGGCTTTGCGCTCACACTCCCCCCATCCACCACATCGATAAGCGTTTCTGCCAACTCCGCCAACCACCAGACAAATTGAACAGAGATATAGAAGGAGGGAGGGAGGGAGGGAGAGAGAGAGAGAGAGAGAGAGGGGGGGGGGAGACAGGCAGAGACAAACAGACAACCACAGTGTGAGAAAAAGACAGACAGACGGGAGTGGCTGACTCTGGTTGTGAACAAGGAGCCACAATAGCAGAGTGATGCTAACCTGTCAAACTAGAGGCTAGTTCACAATAAAAATATATTTGATGAGGAGAGGGCGAGAGGAAAAAACAGTTCACAACAGGTTGATACTTGCAGCAGCACAACCAGCAAGAGAAAGCGGCAGTATATGGATTTATTTCTGCTGTGCGCCATTCTTGTGACCCACATTGTGTGATGTGCCAAGGAGCTTTCTTGCACTGCCAGGTATTCACCCGGAGTGTGAGCAAGACTTGATCTTCGCATGATCTACTCTGCTGGGACTACCCTGCCTCCTACCACCAGCACCACCAGCTGCAATTGCAAGGCTACATTGCCCATCACAAAGGCGTTCTGCACTGACGTCCACATATCCGTCTGGGCAAGGCAGAAAAACACCAGCAGGAAACTTGACACGACTCTAAGATCATCCCTAATAAGTAGGGTATTTCAAATTTGGACGTAATAACGGAGAAGTTCAAAGTCTTTTCTGTTTGAAACTCAACACTTGCAAGCCAGATACGAAAGAAAGAAAAATCATCAGTCATACCACCGGGACTCAAACCAGGGACCTTGCTATTCGCGAGCAATGCTCTAACCAACTGAGCTACAGTATGACTCCATCTATCTCTAGTATCAGAACAGTGCGAGACAGGTGGTCTAGATTCCTACTGGTTTGAAATTCTACGTGAAGTCCAAATATTTAATTTGAAATTTTAATTTTGCGTTTGCTCACAGGGGAAGAAGGATAGATCAATCAACAAGCGTACTGGCATCTCACGCCACTCAAGAGGGCCCTCAGCCATTTGCTCGATATCAATGGGAGCGCATCAAACTATGTCCCCTGTGAGCAAACGCAAATTAAAATTTCAAATTAAATTGTTGGACTTCACGTAGGATTTCAAAGCATTAGGAAACTAGACCACCTGCTCACCGTAGATAAGAGCAAAAGTAGATACACAAGAGCGTGCAATTCCGCATTTCTTCTGCACAACCTGCAGACACCCCGGCCCATGGCGGATTTTTTTGTGGATGTCACCTTTTTCAGAAAACATGACGCGTGTCGAACAGAGCACGCGCATTTTGCCGCAGAGCAGTGTGAGGGCACGTGCTGGGCACCGGCCTTGTCGCCCTTGAGCCCGGCCAAGCGCACGAGGCAAAATTTCCCAAAAGACTCGCAGCGCGTGCGCCGTAGAAAAGATTACGTCAACGAAAAGTTTCGCCAACCCATCCGGGAGTTGCACTCTCTTGTTTCTTGAGTGATGATGTAGCTCAGTTGGTTAGAGCATTGTTTGCGAATAGCAAGGTCTCTGATTTGAGTCCCGGTGGTGTGACTGATGATTTTTTCTTTCTTACGTATCTGGCTTGCAAGTGCTGGATAGCAGGAATTTTCAGGCGGGAACATTTTCGGACAAAGCCGAATATCGACCCTTCGTACGGATTTTATTTTCGTACTTGTACAGTGCATGCTAAATGCACGTGTTCGCATGCAGTACGCGCGTGCCAAGGCACATGGCATGTGTGCTATGACTACAACAAAATGTAGCTAGCTGTACTGCACTGCGCCACTTCACACACGCACTAGTCCTGAACGGGAGCCAGGTCATCATGTGCATCATGTCTAGTGTACTTTGAAGTACATAATTTCAAATGAACAAATTTTAAAAGTAGAAAGGAAAAGGACATATGGAAACGAGTTAAGAGTAACTCTCCACCACTGTAACTAGATACTATATACAGTCAGAAAGTGCAACAACTAGGCACAAAACTGACAGAGTACTGAGACATTCGACGTCCTGCGGAGATGTGTTGAAGCTAGGTGTCAGGACGTCGAATGTCTCAGTACTCTGTCAGTTTTGTGCCTAGTTGTTGCACTTTCTGACTGTATATAGTATCTAGTAACAGTGGTGGAGAGTTACTCTTAACTCGTTTCCATATGTCCTTTTCCTTTCTACTTTTATTATTGGCTCAATACCCGAGTTTCGAACAAATTTTAGCACGGAATTAATTTTAGTACAAAAGAAGCCGTGTACGAAATCGTACGAAAATAAATTCCGTCCGAAAATTTCCTGCTATACAGTACATGTATTGTACTGCTATACAGTACATGTATTGTACGTAGTGTAGCTGCCTGCTGTCTGCACGCTTTTGCCTGGTTACTGGTTACTGCTAGATTACGTGTCCGTGCCTAGCTCCGTGCCTGGGTTCGTGCCTGGGTCCGTTGTTGGTGATAACTCGTGGCCCTGCGCCGTTTTTCCTGTCTTCCGTTTTTGCTGTAGTCGTCGCAGCTCCTCGTGTTGGGTCCGTAATTATTCTCTCTCTCGTGGTTTTCTGCCTTTTTAGTACTCTTGTCGTTTCCGTTGTCCTCCTGAACCCTGCACCTTTCCTTTGTCCCCTTATTCGTCGTAAGAGGCCAAGTAAGATTACGTGTCAACCCGAACATTCAAGTTGCTCTGTCTGACTGGTCGCGGGGGCTCAGACAACACATGTATTGTATTGCTATACAGTACATGTGTTGTACTGCTATACAGTACATGTATTGAGTTTGGGAGAGAAAAGAGCAGTACTACGAGGCAGGTGGCCTGGTTTCCTAACAAGTGGGGTATTGGCATAGCAACGTACTATCACATGACGTACATTGTATGGCAAACTATTGCAGTACAGTCAGACCTCGCTTAACTGCACACATCCGTTTCCACAAAAAATATCCGGATAGGCGAGGGAACCGGATAACTGAACACACATTCTGTATATGCATGTGGCATATCAAAAGGAGTGGCATCATACATACATGTAGGCGGGTCCTGTGCAGTACAACTAGCGAAGTTTTCTGCACATTTCAACCAGTTTGGACACAAAATCATGCACCGGTATGCGGATCGCGAGGTCCGGTTATGTTGTATGCGTAACATGTACTGCACATCGGTAACCAGCGATTTTCTTCTGGATGGCGATGGATCGGGATAAAAGAGGAGCGGATAAACGAGGTCTGACTGTATAATGAACAGGACAGAAAGTACTGGGGCCTGGGGGACAACATGATTGTACACATCGTGAATATACATCAAATGAGTGTACATGTAATTATCTGATTCAGTTGCAGCTGAACTTGGTCTTACCTTGCTACTCGGCTATCAGTTGACATTGCACTTGTTGGTGGACAAACTGCATGTTCTGTGTTGCATGGTGATTCCCTGTACTTGAACACTGACAATCAGTCCATGCTTGCTTGTACTGCTCCTCGGTGTGAGACCTAGCCAGCACAGAAGAATGTGAAGTGTTTAGAAGAGTATCATAATATTATCATTAGCGGGCAGTTGAAAGTGATAACACACACACACAAACACAAACCTTCCCCTCTTCTGTCCTACGTAACCATGAACCTTCCAAGTTGGAAGGCTGTTGGTTTGTGCACTGGACATGTGTTAGAGCTCGGTCTCAGGTCGCTGAATGTCTCAGTAGCCTGTCAGTTTTGTGCCCTATTATCGCACGTTATGACTCTTTATCATCTTGTTACAGACGTGGATGGTTGCTGCATTACCCTGCTCATGTGTTTTCTACTCTTTTTTTTACACACAAATATCTTTTTTTTATTCTTTTAGTTTATAGTTTTCGGAATAGCGCGAGCTCCGGTGTGGGGAGCAAACCCTTTTCTTATATATATAATATGGCATAAGCAACAAGTCCTACCCTTTTCATGTATAGATGCTGTGAAGAGGGGTGCCAATTGTGAACTTTGACCTACTCAAGCTTCACTCAAACAGTGCTAGTTTGAACTGCATTCAAAATCCAATCACAATCGCAGTGTGGCCTGAACTGGATTCGATTCCACAAAATGCAAATCATTTCTCACCGCAAACATAACCCATGTTACATTATTGCAAACATCTGTTTGAGAATGCCATTCACAACCGGTGTCACGGGTAACTTGATTCACTATAGTACACTGAGGATAGTCTGGCCAGGGACAATACCACTATAGTCAATAGAGGTTATGTGAATGATGTCATGGTGGTGACTCAGCAGAACTGCTTACGGCCACTATGTATACGCTGTTAGGCAGGGAAACGGCAGATGGGCACTATGCATACACTGTTAGGCAGGGAAACGGCAGATGGGTACTATGTATACACTGTTAGGCAGGGAAACGGCAGATGGGTACTATGTATACACTGTTAGGCAGGGAAACGGCAGATGGGTACTATGCATGCACTGTTAGGCAGGGAAACGGCAGATGGGCACTATGTATACGCTGTTAGGCAGGGAAACGGCAGATGGGCACTATGTATACACTTTACAGCATGAGTTACTAATGAATAGCCGTTCCGCGAATTCGCCAAAGCATCATCTCAACTGATGGTGTAATCGTTTTAAACCTCTACACTACAGGACAATCTGATCAGTAAGAATATCACTACTACATAGTATACTGCAGTAAGGTCTACACTACAGTACAATCTGGTCAGTTAGAATACCACTACTACATAGTATACTGCAGTAAGGTCTACACTACAGTACAATCTGGTCAGTTAGAATACCACTACTACATAGTATACTGCAGTAAGGTCTACACTACAGTACAATCTGATCAGTTAGAATACCATTACTACATAGTATACTGCAGTAAGGTCTACACTACAGTACAATCTGGTCAGTTAGAATACCACTACTACATAGTATACTACAGTAAGGTCTACACTACAGGACAATCTGATCAGTTAGAATACCATTACGCTGTGTATACCGCAGTAAGGTCTACACCAAACACATCGTACAATGCTGCTCAGTGAAATCCAGTCGCGTCACTCAAGTTTGTGTCTGGCACCATTTTGCAGCCCAGTGTTCGCAGGTCTGGGGCTTTGGAATGCCCGGCGCGAACCTTAGTGCCGCGACTGGATTTCATTGAGCAGCACTGTAGCATGTTTATGAGTAGTGGCAAGAGTTCTTAACCCCCCCCCCCCCCCCCAAGAGTGGGATACTCTAGTCTATGGGGTCTGCAACTTTCATCACGTGATAAACCCGTACACATTATTTCGAAGTATTTGCACTCAGGGCATTATAGATCCAGGGCGTTACTCAGCCCTGCTTTAGGTTCAACTCTCTTGTGGTGACTTTGCACTGCTTCCCAGTGTAACCTTTTGGAGCATGTCACGTGATGCGAAGTGCTGCCGTCGCATCACTGGGTAGAGGTGGTACAGACAGCTGTACACTCTTGGAGCTATGTTACAGTACTCCTGGTAATATATTGAACCTACTTTGGTGTTTGTGACATAAGGGGCCTGACCACAAAATACATTGTATTCTACTTCCATTTACTTTTAAAGGGGAAGTATACCCTGAAATCAAATTTTCACCAGTTGTAGTCTTCGGGGTGCTGAGTCGAATGGTCTTGGTCCGAGGAAGCTGCGACGCTCCCTTCCTTCTTTTTTCCCAATCTAACCCGCGCACTTCCACCGAAACTGGGTGACTGCGCCCTACTAGATGGGGATTTGTATGCAAAATGTCACTAAAAGTGCTATGTCGTTCTTATAAAACCACGGATGACCGCGATTGGCCCATATGTTGTAGTCTTTTGGACGCTGAGTCGACTGGTTTTGGTCCGAAAAGGCTGCGATGCAGCGTTCCTCCTTTATTCCCAATCGAACATGGTTGAACAAGCGGTCACGTGCTCCTGGGTGCCCAAATCACCTGGTCACTACGCCAGCAGGCGACAACTTTCACACCAAGGTTCAACTCGAGTGACAGGACTGCACCCAAAAAAGGTCAAACAGGCTAGTAAGTTGTACCCTGCAGGCACGGTGACCAGGTGACTGGCGTACGCAGGAGCATGTGACCGCTTCTTCAACCATGTTCGATTGGGAATAAAGGAGGAACGCTGCATCGCAGCCTTTTCGGACCAAAACCAATCGACTCAGCGTCCAAAAGACTACAACATATGGGCCAATCGCGGTCATCCATGCTTTTATAAGAACGAAATGGCGCTTTTAGTGACATTTTGCATACAAATCCCCATCTAGTAGGGCGCAGTCACCCATTTTCGGTGGAAGTGCGCGAGTTCGATTGGGATTCAAGTAGGAAGGGAGCGTCTCAGCTTCCTCGGACCAAGACCATTCGACTCAGCACCCCGAAGACTACAACTGGTGAAAATTTGATTTTAGGGTATACTTCCCCTTTTTAAAAGTCTAGAGGGAAGTAGAAAAGGCTTTAGTCCCACTGGATCCACCCAAGAAGTCGTAGTTATTTGTAGACTTCTAACGTCAAAATTTAAAAGGTCTTCATCTGAACTGTTCTACCGATCTCACCTGGCCACTGACAGTGTACTACTCGGCTGTATTACGGCATTGGTCATAACACGTCTTCTAGCTGTCCAGCAAAGTCTGGTCTTCACCTCCTTGCTTCCATCCCATCATTGCACTTCATTCATTTGTTGACCGTTTGCTTGAAAGGTTTTGGTGATTCTCTGGCCTTCATGATCTTAGTACGCCTGGAGACGGTGGACCTACCGGAGTCGGAATAGTAGTCTACATCAGAGTCGATCGTGTTCGTTGTCCCTGTCACGGGTAGTGTGCAGCAGTGAGTCCATGTGCGCGCCATCCACCCTGATGCAGCTCACAGCCTAGCACGCTGGGAATGCACCTCTGAAGACTACTAGTAAACTCTCCCAGAGTTTGGATCGCGGACGCCACGGTCTGCACTTTCACTCATCGACGGTCTCCAGTTCCAGCCGCTGACTAAGCTAAGCAACCAGTGCCGCAGTGCGCCGTCCTGCATACAGATCTCTGCTGAGTATTACTGCACTGGAATGTTGTCGAGTATCCACAAATATCACTCACATTGTCATCAGGATTCGTTTGAAAAGATACAGTCCCTCTCTAATCCGGCACTTGTTTATGCAGCACCCTTGCAAACCAGCACACTTTCTGGGAAAACGGATTTTTCAGTTCATTTTCTACGCTTTTAAAAAAACCTTGGCCTTTGGAGTCCGTAACTTTTTGCTTCCGCAGAATTTGTGGCAGTCAAGAAAATGCGCACTCCATTTCCAACATAACTTTGGTTCTACTTCACCGATTTTGAAGATCTTGGGCTCGTTGGAAAGCTCTTGATGAGAGAAATACAATGAGCCCAAACTCGCCAAGAGCACTGTTCATTGTCCGCCACAACGCGCCCCAAACGCGAGTCCAGCTCCAGATCTGAGACGAAATCGGTCTCCAGTAGCTGGTAGCCATTTCACTGAATCTAGCTCGGAACTGTTCAAATTTTTCGAGTAGAAGCTTACCTTGCCGTGACGTCGCGCCGCGCCGGTCCTGGCACGTGCCGCCTGTTATGAAGCTAGGAAAATCCCTTTTTTCACGCACTGGTCACGGGTGTTTGCAGTGCATGAACTCTGGCCAGTCGTCCCCGTACGCAAAATGCGTACGCATTTGGATCTACCGTACATTTCCTCGTGTTTTGGGCGAATCTGAGCGGTACGACGCTGTCGAATTGGGCCTGAATTTGCCCTGAACCAGCCGCTATCGAAGTAAAATTAGGTGTTTTGAAGGCCACACGGGAACACTGTGGCCATGTCTTCGTTCCTGCGTCGTTTGTTTGAAAATCGGAGTGTTTTTGAGCTCGTAGTTCGTCTTCGTTGTGGAATGGCCGTGCGTCCATTCTCCTTGGAATTACCAAAGTCACACCCCCGTTTATTACATTACTAGGAGTTTTGCCGGCAGCCACGATAGTTTTTATCCCTGCTTCCATACGTCCTTTCATTGAACAGCCAAACGAAACTTTGTGGCGCGCCTTAGTTTTTTGTGGCGCGGGGGTCTCAAGTTTGTCACTTCGAGTTGTACACAACGATCACATCAACACCTCAAAGGACCAAAAAAACCAAGTGAGCAAGTATTTCTACCTTGCGATTCTGCCTGGCCTACTCTGAAGATGGAGACTTCTACTCGAGTCGGTAGCACATACTCGTATCAATAAGCTGGGAGGGAGAGCGTGGCGAGTAAAATGTTGGGATGAAAAGAGCCACATTCTCTCTCGGAAAAGGTCGTCGTTCGTTCCTACACTGGCTACACACTTGCTCTTCCCAGCTCTGCAGAAGGCTAGATTTTGCATGCACGTGCGAGATTCGCATCCGCCACGCAGAGTCGAAATTTTTGTACTCTCGGATTTGCCGCCATCTTGACGAGTGGCCACTGCGAAACACCCGTGTGGTGACTCGCAGCACGCAGCGCAGAAAATCGAAATGTTTGATCGCTCGCCGCTCACTCAAACTTCATCACAGAGACTTCGGACCAGTTCAAGGCGATAGCTGAGACTGAGAGTTTTCTCTACCATCTAGACCCTTGTTGAATTTGGTCAAGATTTGGCCGAGAACCGAAAGTTTGACTGCGCCCACATGCATACTGTACATAATTCGATTTTCTAATCCAGCAGTTGTACATTGCAGACTGTCCGGGACCATTGTAACATACACAACACATGTAACATACACTTGGGAATATCCTATGCTAGTGCATAAGATATTCCCAAGTGTATGTTATAGACATGCATTCCACAAAGTACTTGGTTTGACACAGAAAATCCCTACATTTTGACGTACGACACAAACATGTACATGTATGATAACATGTGGGCCGGGTTGGATCGGAGGGCAGGATTTGATAATCCAGCACCCTTGTTTATCCAGCAGAAAACGCCGTTGCAAAAGGTGCCGGATTATAGAGGGACGACTGTATCTGCCATTGCATTCCCTGCCCACTGCATGTCAGGTGGTTGGTTACGGTTCAGTCCAGTACAGGATTTTCACCGACACGACTCCCATGGCCCAGTCCACCACTGCACCAGGAAAATGAACAGGTGCAAAGATTAAAAGTAACAGTTACTACTACTAGTAGTAGTTCGTTTGTTCAACTCCTAATGCGAGTCCTAATGCGAGTCCTAATGCGAGTCCTAATGCGAGTCCTAATGCGAGTCCTAATGCGAGTCCTAATGCGAGTCCTAATGCGAGTCCTAATGCGAGTCCTAATGCGAGTCCTAATGCGAGTCCTAATGCGAGTCCTAATGCGAGTCCTAATGCGAGTCCTAATGCGAGTCCCAATGCGAGTCCCAATGCGAGTCCCAATGCGAGTCCCAATGCGAGTCCCAATGCGAGTCCCAATGCGAGTCCCAATGCGAGTCCCAATGCGAGTCCCAATGCGAGTCCTAATGCGAGTCCTAATGCGAGTCCTAATGCGAGTCCTAATGCGAGTCCTAATGCGAGTCCTAATGCGAGTCCTAATGCGAGTCCTAATGCGAGTCCTAATGCGAGTCCTAATGCGAGTCCTAATGCGAGTCCTAATGCGAGTCCTAATGCGAGTCCTAATGCGAGTCCTAATGCGAGTCCTAATGCGAGTCCTAATGCGAGTCCTAATGCGAGTCCTAATGCGAGTCCTAATGCGAGTCCTAATGCGAGTCCTAATGCGAGTCCTAATGCGAGTCCTAATGCGAGTCCTATTGAGTATCCCCTCTCTTCCTCACCAGTCCAACACTAGTCTAAAGCCGTAAAGGGCAGTATGCAATGGCAATGGCACGAAGCGGCTCGGCGGTAGTACAGAATCGATCAGCGCAGCACCAGTGCAGTCCAGGCCATGCCATGCCGCGCCAGGGACGTAGATACGAAGTCAACTGTCAAGCTTGCGCTAGCGCTGCGGTCCATGCATGGTGACCTGGTGACGCAGCGCAGGCAAACCAAGCTGCGCTCGACCACAGACCCGACCCTGCAGTCACTACACTACATTAGTACATACAGGACTACTAAGTACTAGTACTACTACTAACGTTAGTACTAGTACTACTAGTACTAGTACTAGTAGTAGTCCTATTGTGGACATGGAAATCCGGTTGCACGTCTAGCGGTCCCAGGGTGCTGGCCATGCAGCCGTGGATAAGCGGTACACACATGCATTATATTAGTAACTGTATAATGCGCTGCAGCGCGCTAGTCGCATCGGATCGTTACATGTCACGTGCCCTGCACGCAGCGTTCTGTACGCTGTGAGGGCGCGGGCCCCGTTCAAACGACCGGATTTCCATGTCCACGACAGTAGTAGACTGTAGTAGGTCCACTGCACTAAAAATTCACTACGTCCGTGTCTACTCGGTGTAGATCTACCGGCACTCGCACAGATGCCGATGACAGATCCATCCGCAAAGACCATGCGGACCGCACTGACTGAGCTAGCCGGTATCAAACGTTTCAAAGCCATCTTCATGTAGATCTACAAGACTACAGTCATCATGATCTGCCGCCACGAAACTAACTTTTATGCTACACGTCGATCGCAAGAGTTTGCAGTGCAGTGCAGTGCAGTGCTGATCATGGTGATATACGGGTTGCTCTTGCTCAGACATTTTCGGTCTGCGTAGCGAGCCATTCCGCATTCGATCGATGTGGACGGTCTGGGTTCCGGGAATCTCTGGTGGCCAGGTGATCAATTAATAGTTGGGACGTTATTTAGTCAGCTTCGAGGTCGTGGCAAGCAGTTCTGGAAGAGGAAGACAAGAGTGATTGGTTCAAGCTGTGGCCCTGTGGGCAGGCTTTGTGCTCCGCCTCTGCATGGCACAATGCCGGACAGTGTGAAATACAACATCAAGTACTTATTTGCAAATTTGGATGCGTCCACAATCTTGGAAGATCTACTGGAGAGTGATGTTCTGGACGAAGAGGAATATATTGGCGCACCTGCCAAGGAGGACAAGTTCAAGCTGGCAGAGTATGTGGTGAGGCTGATGCTGAAGAAAACGGACGAACAGGTGGAGACGCTCCTGAATCTGATTCAACGCAGCCAGCCTCATGTAGCGGAACATGTCGCCAGTACCATGGCGAAGCGCCGCGGTGCAACTGCCAGTGGGGATACTGACTATCCGGCGAAGCCAATGTCGGCAGACTGTGAGTCAACACGTGGCTCGTCCTCCGGTAAGTGTTTACATAGAAGATGATCCATACTGTTTTGCAAACACAGCGACTCACTGTGAGTGCGTTCGATTATGCCCGCGAATCGATTCATGAATCCGTTCCGTTCATGAATCCGTTCGATTATGCCCGCGAATCGATTCATGAATCCGTTCATGAACCCGTTCGATTATGCCCGCGAATCGATTCGAGCTATTCACATCACCCCATGTGAATAGGGTGAATGGATTCCGAATCGATTGAAAATCTGGAATCGATTCCGAATCCATTCACCCTATTCACATGGGGTGATGTGAATAGCGCTAGTTGAGATTCAAGGGCATAATCAAACGCACTCGCTGTTTCAGACAAATTGAGTAGATTAAGCATGACAATATCCTATGTTCTGTACACTGTCAAGGAACGTATTACAGCCTGATCTTCACTGCATCTGCACACGGGTGTGTCTACCAGCAAACCCTTTACACACAGTAGCCAACACAAAATCATAACCATAATCAGTATGTGCAGACGGCAGTGAGGGATTGCTTGTCCCTTCAAAAAGATCTCTGCATCAACGTGATCCGGTTAATGAGAGTGTACACAGGCACTTAGCTAACAATAAAGGCGTGAGGTCATGTACATGTATAACAGTTGGTGAACACATTCAACAGCATGGTGTACTGTATGCGGGTGTAGAGCCGTATTAGCTTCACGCCCCATTGCGTTGTGGTGCAGAAAGGGTGGTGGGCAAAGTCTGTGGCGAGTTCTTAGCTTCTGTTCACGTCACTCTGATCCCTAAATATGTATATGCATGTACCCAGTAGCTGCTGCAGCAATCACCTTGAACACCAGCCTAGAGCAACGTGGGTCACATCAGTTATCACACAATGCAG